ACTATCACGACGCAAAGCTTACGGTGCGCGATGAGATTTTCATCAAAGCAATAACACACAGAACATAGTCCGAGATTACGAATACGTACTGCGGTGCGAACGAATGAGTCTGATTTTGACCAAAACCGTACCATTCCCTTTTCGACCGATTCACTTTTCGACCAAATTTAAAATAGAAAATATTTAAAAAATAATGAAATACAATGTTTGATTATGATGGAAACTAATGTAATGTATTACTATAACTATTATAATGATTCATGGTTTTACTCACATAGCGAGGTTTTAGGTTCACGTATTATATAATCCCATTTGCAACAGTATCAAGGTTTGTATAAAAACTAGGTTAGGCTTAGACTATAATTCCCCTTGGGGCGAAGCCTCATCCCCTTGAAAAGTGCCGCGCAGTGGCACTCGAGTTTGTGAGTGGAGCCGGCAGGCGTAACGAGCGAAGTCCTAAAATTTTTCTGAAACTAAAAAGTTCCGATATTTCGAAAAAAAAATACAAACAATTTTCATTACGATAAGAGATCAAAATTAGATACAAAAATCGCTCTCCTTTATATTAATATTTTAATAATTATTGACAAAAACTGTACATCATTATTTTATTATTTTAAATTTATTATATACATTTTTGTTTTGATCGAAAAAAGAAGGGTACGTTTTTGGTCGTAAACGGCCATACCCGTGCGAACGTGCTGCGTCGCACCGGTCACAATAACGCGCTACCTGTAAACGTGCGTTTTACCTTCATGAAATGATTGCAACGTTTGCCATTACCCGTAAAAGAAAAAATCATAATAAATAATTGTTATACCTTATAATCCAAAAATATATAGTTGTGTCAAGTATGTAAACAAAAACGATGTGATACAATTAGTAAATATTCTAAATCTTGTATTACTCCATTAGCGTACCTATTTATAATATCCTAAACACAGTCATTTTTTATTTTTATTTCCAATTTATTTCCAATTTTTTAGCTTATTCACTCGAGATATGCCATTTATTTTTATATAAGTATGGGTTTGAAATTCGGTAAGAACTTTACCAAACATTTTGAACATTCGGTTGAATTTTACAAAATTAATTTCTTGGACGACTATGAAAGGAACAAAACACAAAAAAAAAAAAACCTGGTAGAGTTTACAATCGCGCCCGAAACATACGGACACGAACGCGCACGGCAAAATATCGTTTGAGCGTTAAAGTTTCTCTATGCTTGCGACGACGACGACGACCTATCGGAGAATTATTTATAACCGTATAATTGGTTTTGGCTTGTACACGTACAAATTCATATATAAAACACCGTCGCCGTCGCGTATTATTTACTCGGACACGCACTGCACCGAACGGGTTGTACGCGGCGACGACGACGTAGAGCAACGAGTTCGCACAACATAATACAATATCCCCGCCGCCGCCGTCAACGTGTGCGCTCGCGACCGTTTGAGGTCATCGGTGTCGACAGCCAACTGGCACCGTTGTTACTTTTATTTTATTTTTTTTTCTATCCCCTTTTAAGTCTTATGTACAGTGTTTTGCAACGCCAATGCAGGTGTATATGATATGTACTTATACGTAACAACAAACACTGCACACAACCGCCGCCGCGGACCACCCACGGCAACCTATGCATACCCACATACGCGCCGACTGCCCTGGACGAGCGACAACTGTTCCTTGTACTATAGTTGTAGTACGAGTACATTGCGACTACAGGTTAGGGGCAAATTTCGGGTGGTTGCGCGGTTTGAATGTAAAATGTTACCTGATGTTATATAATACATATTTACATATATTTATAATTTGTATTTGAAATTTTCACGGGAAACTTTGAAATAACTATAAGATTTGTAGATCAGATAATATTTTAGAAGGAGGTTGAATCCCTAAAACCCACCATGCGCGTTCACGACTGATGCAGGTACGACACGGAAGATTTATATATTTATAAATTATTAATATCGTATCGCCGATACTACACGCGAATCCGTGTTGGATTTGTTGGCGGCGGAGGGAGAACGAGATTCAGAGGACGAGTCCAAGGGCTGAATCGAGCCGGTTGGGACCCCTAGGCCGTAAAAATTTTTGAGCTAAAATATTAACTAATACATAAATATCTAAAATATATAATTTTATACTGTAGGTACTTAGGCCATATGCCTGTTAGATCAAGAGATAAATTACACGCTAAATTACCCCTTCCATAAATACACGCCACTGTTCCAAACACAAGATCTGTGAAGGATGGTAATGGTCAGGGCCGGAACTACGGGGTGGAAGACGGGGATTCATCCCCGGGCGTAACATTTTAGAGGGTGTAATTTTCGTAATTATTAACAACTAATTTGATATTTTTAACTTCGTTAAATACTGATATTAGGTTAAAACTCAATAAGTACGGTTGTATATTGATTATAAGAACACAATTTATTTGAGTATTTGTTTATTAGTCTGTGGATAGGGCGTAATTTTAACATTTTACCCGGGCGTAAAAAATTCTAGTTCCATCTCTGGTAATGGTTAAGGCGCCTAAATTTATGATCGCCCGGACACTTCAACCCCTGGACAAGTCCCATCCTTTGAGTTCAATCAACGCGTATAGATTCCTTTTATTTTACGTATATCTAAATAATAATTATACGATTTTTATCCAAAATACCCATATGCTGAAATAAATATTATCGCACGCTCCCCTTTCTTTGATAAATAATTAAATCAACAGGCGCAGTGTGGGGCATACAACTGTAATATATTTTATGGCATTACAGTTAACCGAGAATTTATTACGCGAAATAGTTCGCCGTGGCGGTCAACCTCAAACGTCGGTGTATATACTCTCTTAGAACACGTCATCGCAGCATCAGCAGCGTTACGTTTCGACGATTTTGAAAATCGGGTGCGATATCTTGCGCTACGAAATCAGGTCAAGAATGTTTAAATACTTCTCTTATGTCTATATAATAAGCACGAGATCGCTCTCGTACCTATGTATGCGCACCAATGCAGACTACGGCTCCTAAGTACATTATAACATTACCTATGTTGTTCATACGAAATAATGTATGGCGTTCATATGTATATGTGTTATGCGCATATACAGTAATTACATCGATTTCATATACATTTTTCTTTTCTTTCTGGCCGACGTTCAAAACGATGATCGATATATTGTTTTAACGAACCTCTCCACAGTGCGTAAGACGACTTTCTAACGACGTGTAATAAACCTTGCAAAACCATTATCGAGATAAAAACTCATTTACAACGTATTTTTATTTATTCGAACCAACATTTCACAGTATAATATCAATATGGTATAATGAACCGAACCATCGAGACAATTTATTGTGTTAGAACACGAAATTCGTCTATTTAATACTACTATTTTACATCGTCGATAAATTTACCGGAATCATTATAAAATGTTGTAATTTAACTGTTGTGTATTTTATATGATCAAGCTAATATTTTTTACCACTTGCTTTAACCATTTAAAATTCATTTTTTCTATTTCACATTATTATTGGTATGTAAATATATCATAATATTAAAATGTTTACTCAATTAAATAATAAAACACAATTATTATACATTGCTTAGTTAAATTAAATTAAATATGTAAATACGATGCTGAGTCATACCTAGAACTTATTTAATAAACGAAAATTCATTTGAATAATATAGATTGCGATACTATATTAACTAGTAGTCAGTTTAATGTGTAATATACTAAAGAATCTACGTCCAAAATTCAGAAAGGAAAACTCTTTAAAAACTATAATACAGAATATATTGAATTTCAAAAGTAAATGGCAGCTCTAATTACAGATTAACAAATTAATAATATCAAAAACGTAGTTTAATAAAATAGATACGAAAAACTCGGAAGGAAATACGTTTGCATATATGGTAACCCAAATGAACGTTTATACGCAAGGCACAACCAGGAGAAATCGCAGATGTTTTTTTTGATCATAACAAAAACAAATGTTATACCATTTATTTTAGAATCTACTAACTATATAAATATTATGTTAATATTGTATATTCTAAAACCAATGGTGATACCTCTTCCTACCTCTTTGCTTACCTCTAAAAATATAATATTTTCACGTGGGCCAGTGATAACGTATTTTGCACAATATAATTTGATAATTATTCATCCTTGAAAATAAGAACGATGGTAGATTATGGTACTTAAACACTCGGCTTTAACACGCGTTGATCTGACAATCATCCAACGTTATTTATAGAAACGATTTAAAATATAATTTTGAAAACAATTCATGCACGCACACACACCTACTACTAATAACCAGCATTGGCTGTTGCGCGACTGTATAATAATTAATTAATTATATTACTGATACGTTAACTCTGGTACACATATGCAATGTACGTTATAGTGGCGTAACAATAATATTGAGAAGCGCGTTAAACGAAAATCGATCGATTATGATTTTATCCGCACGGTTGGATTTGATATTTAAACGAATCATCGGATCTCGGATCGGTAACGTAAGTATTAATAGCACATACCCATAATTAGTATACATCTCGCGTACTCCATCCGAATCGCGTTGTAGGGAATCACGTAAATTATTGTTTCCACGCGATGTACGGCCGGTCACTACATTGACTGAGATCGATCAAGTCGCCCGACAACGTTTAACGAATAAGCACTACTGATCGTTGTTTACTACGATCGTAAGTCGAACGGTCAACAGTCCGTAGTTCAAATCACAAAGATTTTTAATCCCCCGTACAAATAACACTATTTTTATTTTTGATTGTCTAACAGTTGATAACATGCACTTGCCTATTTCTTGACGACGTTTTTATCGCTCTTGACAAAACATCGTTACATTATTTTAACGTAAACAACTTTATTGGGATACCAAATAAGTGTGGACGGATAACAATCAAAAAAATGCTATGCCACATGAAGGCGGATCATTACGGTTTATGAAATATCGAAATATCCTTACCTTTTTTCGGATCATCTTGTTCCGTGATTAAGTTTTGGTCACCGTCTGGACAAGGTGTCGGATCAGAGTTTCTGAAAAGCGAATAAATCAAAACGATTATTATAAACGTTTTGAAAAAGATGATTAATCATTAATGTGGGCGTTTGATGAGAAAAAAATCCCCTGAATCGATCATTTGATCAAAATGTAAAAACAGCCGTTTCGTCTGCGGGTAGATAAACATTTCTACACTATCGTTGTGGTTTAAGGGGCAACCGATGTACATACACAGTCCATTTGTGTGATGAACTTAAATAGTAAACAATCATCATTAATAAAAATTGTATTGCTTAAAAATATTGCATTATTATAAGTCTTGAGTCATTGGAATATGGATAAAACAACAGGAATTTTCGTTTGTCTACACCTTAAATTAGTTTAAAATGAATTGGCTAATGGCTGATGTGTTTTTGTAATCACAATACACTTATATGCATAAGTTTACTTATTTAAAAAAAAAAAATTATTATCTTTTATTTATGCATTATATAGACTTCGTATTTAATCTTCCTTTAGAATGATTAAAAATATCGGACCAAAACGTAAAGTAAACCGTAAGGCAGTTTAATACTGAAATCTATATACATTCTGTATTTATAAACAGTAATCTAAAAATTGAAGTATGATAATAATATTATAAAGAATATTGTTTGTAATTATTGTAAGATTTTACTTAAATTATTAAACAATGTTTAATCTAAATAATCCCACAAAGAATGTATTAGACTTTTATTATATATCTACCTAAATGTAATAAGCACCTTGTGTCGATACAATTATGTGATTAACAGTGACTAAATTAGTTAACAGGAAATTAAAACAATTACACTTTTAAAATGTGTGAGAGTAAAAATATAATTTTCACTTTAAACATAAGAATGTTTTAACAATAATTCATATTGGTTTTTAATGAAAATTCCACCAGAATTCTTAAAATATTATATCGATTTATTAAAACTATATACATTTAACAGTACATCGTAAATTATTTATAATTATAAAAAATTCATTAGTTCTATACAGCATTGATGTATCCGGCATAAAACAAGGAGGCCCATATATTTTAAGAATTTAATTTTTATATAAAAAACAGATTTTTAATATTTTAAAAATAAGCTATGAATATAATTATTGTGCAGTAAACAATTTTTTTCACAAATTAAAAAAAATGTTAAATACAATTTCATAGTTAAAGATTCTAGCATTTAATTTGAATACTCTTTACTGTACAATTTAATACTTTTTAAGTTTAAATTAAAATAAGTTATATTTATAATATTTTCTTCTTACAAATTAAGTTGTATATATAAGATAAAATAATATGCTAACTAAATTTATTATTAATATTATAATTTGTACCATATCAAATAGTAGTTAATATTTATTAGTTATTATTTATTTTAGATTATTATTGTGCTAATGAATAAATGAGTAGGAAATATTTTATAACAATAATAAAAAATTGTTTTTGACTTTAATAAATATTGAGATATACAATTTAAACAGATTACTAATCTATAATTGATAATTATGAATTTTCTTTTATAAAATAATAAATAATAATTACATTGGTATTTAAAAAAAATATTGAACACTAATAAATAACCATTGTAAAATAGTTGAATTGATAATTAGGTATACTACTAAATAGCCTAAAAAGCCATACAATTCCACCCTGGCAATAGGAAATATCTACATCAAATAAAATTAAAAATGTACATTTATTTAGTGTTAACCTGTCCTATAAAATAATTGTTATGTTTCATCATAAAAAATATAAATATATATAAGTATATAATTTTAATAAAACTGTATAATTTGACCTTATTTGAAAATAGTCTAAGTTACCATACACAAAATTGCTTTTAATTAATTATTTAAATTACATTTTTTTTTAAATTTTAGTAATTATTAATATTTTTGTTAATCTGATAACTTGATAAGTAGATTAAACAAAATGACTAACGTAATAATAATTTAAATAATGTTTTTAATAAATGATTATCAAATAATAGTTTGTTAAAACACAATTTAAGCAATAAAAATGTATATGTTATTAATTTAACTAAACATTTATTAGAGAAAATTGTACTATATCATAGTTTAATTAGCTATAGGAACTTAAATTTCTGGAATCTTAGTAAATTGCAGTTTTCTTAAATAACACAAGCTAATCTTCTTGATAAAAGTTGAACCTTAATTATGTACTTAAATATCAAGGAAACTACTTTAAATAACATCCCTGTAAAGTAAATTAAATTCAAATTTAGCAAACCCTGTTTAGATGGAACTTAAAGATACATCAGGGGTCTTCCGATAATGTCAAAATCCAACGAAAATTCATAATCCTAATATATTTCAAAAGAAACTAAGTATTTTTTGAAGAAATTTTCAGTCATAATGCGGGTAATTGATCGTTTTTAAATTTTAGCGACAAGCTCCATAAAAAAATCATCTCGGTTGGGAGCAGTATTATTTAATTTGCAGAAAAATTAAAAATCATTGCAATAGCTCAATTAAAATTAACCCAAAACTAACGGGAACTATCCCTCGTTAAACTACACTCAATGATTTATTCGCACCAGGCAGTTTTCTTGTCGTTACACGATATAAGGTTAAGGTGTAATTAACTGTTGTGAATAGGGACACGACGAGTTCGACATTAATCTAAATGGATATACAATACAAAGACTGGTTTGAGTTATTTGTTTCGATCGAGGCGATCGTATACAAGTGTAGGTATAATATAATAATATTATGGTTACTTGGCGTGTGTCTACGATAGTATTATAAAAACATTGACGTTTGACATAGCCGAAGTCGTCTCACTCTGAACTCACTCCGAACTCACTCTGAAAAGAGAGACTTGGGGGACTAATTCTCTCTAAACTAACGGTATAATGAAAATAAAAATAAAAACTGTACAAATTTTAAAGGAATATCCCGAGACTTGAGATCCCTGAAAATGTTTACTATTTTGCATCACTGATAACATGGTAACTTAACGGACGTAAAAAACGTTTCGGTGACACGTGTGAACTGTTAGACGTAACAAAAATACGATAAGAATGAATTAATGATCCGATCGTGAGGGTTCGAAACTGTTACGAAACGATGTCAATGACGAACCCTGGTGCGTTGGATAGGATAGTTTTGCATGAAGGGGGGAAAGGCTGTTGGGGGAAAAAGGAGAGTTATGGGTCTGCGCGCTTACGCGAAAACGTCGTCTTCGTCGTCGTTGTCGCCGGCGGCAGCCGCTTGGGGTAGTTCGTCCTTGTGCACAAAGTCCACCAGCCTGGGTGGTAACCGGTAAACGGGTGGCGATGGCGACGGCGGCGGCGGAGGTTTCTTCTTGGGCGGCCGCACTTCCTTGCGCGGTAGCGGCTTGGGCGGCAGTCGGTCCTCCTCGGCCACGGCCACCAGCTTCTCGTATAGGCCCACGTCGTCGCCGATGGCCGCGCTCGACGAGAACTCCCGTTCCAGCTGCATGAATGGCTCCAATACCCGGTCCAGCACGCAGTTCTTGCTGTCGGCGCACTCGTCGTCGGCGAACGATGTCGGACACTTGGACACCACCGTGGACACGCTACTGTTGGTGTCGTCCGATTCCGACTCGCCATGGTAGACGAACCTGTAATCACGGTATAACGTTAAAAACATGTATACGAGTAGGATATTACCAATGTACACTATTGGAGTTCAGCTACAATTACGCTACAATATATTTTATACGCACTCACGCGCATGGTGATCAACGAGATCAATGGGGGGGGGGGGGGGGGAGAGTGCTTGACTTTGGGCAGTTATTCCTCGTGGAACACCCTGTATACGGATGGGCTATTGTAAATCGTAATGCATCCTCATGAATATATAAATGTATTTGTAAACGAATAATAACATTTATAAACTTTGTGTGGTTGTAAACAATTTAAGATTAAAACGTAATTGTTACCTTATCGGGACACATTGTTCTTCACATTTTGCCACACCAAGCCCTGATCATAATAATATAAAATAAGTATGAAAAACATAGTCGTTACGCTCGTTAATATGTTATTAACTTGTCAAATGCTGTTAATTATTATGTTTGTGTATTGAACATGTTATATATTTATTGATTTTATTTTATAACATCACTACTAATTTTATAAATTTTAAATAACAGTTCGTCCGCAGCTTACATACAATCATTGCTTTTTACATACATTTTCAACTATTGTATTAAATAATGTACAATATATACTATAGTAGTCAAATATATTTATAACTATTGTTAGTATTTTTATATACCTGTAAATTAAAAATGTATACATTTTTTTTACAATGATAAACAAAATATATTAGAACATTTCAATGACCCTTTAGTTTATATGTTTTTTTTTATATGTTCTCAATGTTATTATAAATAATATAAATAAATAAAATAGGATACACGCGTTTTTTCATTCGTGCTTACACAGTAAAAAAAAATTCAAGCTATATATAAATAATAAATAATTAAATAATTGATTAGACTCCAATTTCATCAATACAAGGTTATACCTTAGTTATGTATTGAACCAAATACTTCTTATGCAGGACTAAATTGTTAAGTATTATTTTGGTATTTATATGCTATACTATTACTATTTTAAACATGTTCAAATTGTATAAAATATAAAAATTAAAATACCTAAAAATGTTGTTGTTATAATATTACATATATATCCAAATCGATATTATATTAAAAAAATTTGCCTATAGGTATCCAATAGTTAGAAATATTTTGTAGAAAATGTAGTCGTAGGAAATATGTGATTTATAAAATAATATTCAACGCGAGACGCGCTTAATTTGTGCTTTAATTTATACACAGTTTAATTCCTAATATTTTATTATAAAATTAGCTTAATCGTTTCGATTTTTGAGGAAAATTAAAAATTTATATTAATCATATCAAAGTTTAATTTTTAATTAATATTCACAATACACGAAAGTATATCATTTAAAAATCAACATTTCTAATCCTCTGGGAATGGTTCGATAATAGGTTTGATTCTGTTTTTTAATCTACTGTAATCGCTGTGTGTTCATCACTAATTAGTAGAAACTGATCATCCATCATTATCTGTGTACCAACTTTCTCTATGGCCATTTCATCAGATAATTATATGGTAGTATATTGTTTATATTATTTATTAACACAACAGGAGAACATTATGTTCTGGTTGAAATCATTAGATAGCACTATTTAAAAATGTTTATAAAATACTCGTATTTTTATATTAGATTGAACGAAATTATCATGTTTAGATATTTGCTTAATACTTAATCACACATTTTGTTCGTTATACACTAATTTTATTCATTTCACCGTCACATTACATTCGTAGATTGACTATCAAACAAAATCGTATTGCTACTTTAATCATACACCGATACTAACTATTATTTTCCACATTATTAATCCACACAATAATTAAGATAAAAAATACGATTAAAAATATAATTTTATTGTAATAGCATTAGAAATAAGAGTTCGTAATGGTGGAGAGTTGGTACCCATGTCTAATGAGTTGAATGTTCTAAAAAACTGTATGCGGTAGGTATACGAAACACCATAAAAGTAAGAATCGATTTATGCATTTATAAATTATATGTCATAGGAAGTCGGATAGTAATCTTTGATTTTATTTGCATCTAGTCCAATTAAACAGGTTCTGAATCGTTCTATCGAAAACGTCAGTATGAATGAAAGCAAAGCGACAGAGATGCCGAAAGCTATAGTGTACCCAACCCAAATGCGTGTGTAATGTGTATAGTATATGTATAGGTAAAGTACAGGGCTCGGATTTTATAGTAAAATATAGGCTTTTTTTATGACTGAAAAAATCTTAATATATGCCCTAGAAACACAAAAAAAATATATAACAAATATTTTTCCACTTCGATCACAATAATTTTTTCTACAATTCTATAATTTATAAAAAAAAAAAATCAAATCTAACGCGTACAGTGCACGCAATTACAAATAAAATTGTACAATTACAATTTTAAAAATACGGCGTATAGATTTGAAATTCTAGTTACATAAAAAACGAAATATTTACTGCTCGTTCAGGTATTTCTAAGAAAGCATTGCGGAACATTTAACGTTACAGAATCCGAACCCTGGTGATATATGCGTATAGAGTTGTACTCGCCTCTCGACGGCGTCCGTGTACACGGCGGAATTCGCGATCGGTGGCGGCAACGGTTCCGGTTTTTTCTGTTTCCGGGGGGGCACGGGCGGCGGCACCTTGACCGTCAGCCGGCCGTCGATCATGTGCAACTTGACCACCAACCCGGACTCCTTGAGACACCGGACGCAGTCGTCACGGCTTAGTTTGTTGACCGGGCGGCCGTTGATGCGCACGATCTCGTCGCCGGGGCTCAACGGGCCCCAGGACGCCTGAGTACGGGATGCCGGGCTGCCGTCGGCGCAGGACTGCACGAACAGCCTGTTGCACGTGTCCACGCCGTCGAACCGCAGCCCGAAACCCAGCCGCTCGCCGGGCAGACGGTAGACGAGCACTTCTTCGGCGACCGCGGCCTCGGTGGCTCGGGCAGTGGCCGCGTCCACCGCCGGCTCGTCGCCGATGGACAGTACGGTGACAAACGAATCATCGTCGACCGGCTGGACGTCGCTACCGCCGCCATCCACCGAGACGACGGTAACGAAGTCTTTCACGGCCATGGCGGTGGCGGTCGCAGTGCTCATCGCTGCGACGGTACTGCTGGATGATGCGATGTGTCTCGTCCTGCAGGGAGGGAAAGATAAAAAAATAAATAAATAAACCGGTTACAAAATGTGTGTTATATTACGTTTATAATATACCGTTAAGATGGGCCTGGGAGTACCTCATATATTATACATTGTTGTCCGCGTGTACACGTTAAACACAGTTCGACGACGATGGGCCGCCCCAAGAGTTCAGTCGTGACCGCGGAAGTGAGAAAGAACGCGCGTGACAGAGAGGAAGGGATAAAACAAGCACATATGCATGCGCGCATAAATAACGTTGACCTCGACTTCGAAGCGGATTTCAAGTGCGCGCCTATCGACAGCACCGCTTGCGAGCGGTACGTGCGCAGCAAGTGTTCGCAATTTCTATGCAGACGCACTGTACTTAGCTGTAACGCTAAGTACAGTTCAACGCGGATTCTTTCGCCGTGAAATTGGAGTGAAAGTACGTAATCACACACGAGCAAGCGAAAAAAATAAATTATTCCACTATAATGTTATGTTATCGAACGTTTATTATTATTTACTTTCGTCATGTAGGAGTGAGAAAGGACGACAGAACGAAGTAGTTGATGTAGCTATGAAGTAGAACAAAGAAAGACGGAAGGAAGCAGAGAGATAAAGAAAACGTATGGAAATAATAACAATATTAATAATAATAATAATAATAATAATAATAATAATAATAATGCTAATAATAACGGTCTCGCGTGTTCGATATACATTTCGAATGTTTTAATTATATGTATGCGGTGAACACAACACGTGTATACAAAAATCAAGTGTGTGCACACGCCAAAAGCGCGTAACGAAGACGCGAATAAAAAAATAATTTATAAACGTTAGCGTGTGTCTCCCATATTATTACGTAAATTTATAATAATACGTTTACGCGACTTTATAAATCTACGCGTACGTATCGTAGTAGCAACAATGAGACGTACTATATATTGTAAACATTTTACTGATTGCGATGATCTTTTTAATGTTTTTTTTCGGATATGTTTCAATGGTGTATTTATTTTGTTTTTTATCGCTAAGTTTTCTTTGATTTTCAGTTAAAGCCGTAATTTTTAGCCTAGTAAAACTTATAAGCAAAACTTTAATACAACCACTTTAACATTTAGAAAGTATTGAAATGATTATCGAAAGACACTCTCTTATTATGTTATTAATTTAGAGAACAGATTTTATTTTGAACACATCTGGTTTCGAAACATACAGTTAGATTTTGAAACTGAATTGGTTCTTAACATTTTTTAAGCGAAAGAACTTTTTAACCACTACAACATTTTTAGGCGTTTCAAAAAAATAAAATTGATAAAAATTATAATAATTATAATTTAATTGTAATTGCTTTGAATTTAGCCCATAAAGTCCTTAAATAAACTATTAGTAGAAAAATACGCAAGATAACTAAAAAGGGGTGATTATCACTTTGACCTCCTTGAATTTATGCTCGACTGCGTCAAAACTGTTTTCAGAAATATTTAGACGGCCAAAGATATTTATTCGAGTAACGACAAAGTACAACCATTCACTGCTCAGTCACAGGTAAATTCGTTCTGGACCTTGCTTGATCCTTATATGGATATTGTTTGCGTTAAACGTCTAGTATATTTCGACCATGACTACAATTGAAGTCGACAGACATAATATTATTTATTATATTAGTATATAGGTACATACAATCGTGCTCCAAGTAAACGTTGACATGGCGTTAAAACCACAAAAAAGAATTTTAAATTGTTGACGCATATATTGGACTATAGCAATAAAAATATTTATATTTATAATCCTAAAACAAAATTCATATTTCGACGAATTAACAGTGAATGCATAAGTATTTAAATCAAAAAACTAAATTTGTACCAATTTGTACGACTCGTTTCAGTACCAGTTTGTACCAATGAATTTCCCACGGAAAAATCGATTTCTCTCTACGGGTGTCAGGCATACGTTTTCTAGGGAAAATTACATAAAATATTATACTTTATTATATTGTTTATGTGAGTGTGTTTTTTTTTTTTTACCAATTGAATAAAATTGTATTAACATCCAAATTTCGCACTCGTAGAACAAAAAAATCAGAATTTATATGAACGTAAATAATATTTTGTAGGTTGAAAACCCGCAAATAATATTACCTGTTATAAAATATATAACATAATACAGTACAATAAATATTACCAACAATACTATTGCACGCTAAAATAAGCACATATTTTGTTAAGTTATTAATTATATATTTGATTGAACTTGTGAACATTTATCAATCAAGGATTTGACGTTACTATTATTAATTTCTATGATAATTCTATTGCAATAATTATGCTTCGTGTACAGCATGGGTTCTCAACCTTTTGAGGTCCACGCTCCCTTTCAAACTATTTTATGAGTTCACGCCTCCTCTCCCCTCACTACTATAAGATTGATGTGTAATCGTAATATTTTTTTGCGGGTCACCAAAACTCGTTCTTATCACGTCGAGTGTCGGTTTTTCGCCGAAACAATGCTTTTATTAATACCCAGAATACTAAAGAGTACAAATACATGATTTGTATAATCTTATAAAATCGTAATAATCGCTCGGTGTATATCTATTTATCGACCCCGGCGGCGATCAACACACCGGCAATGCACGGCGTAGAAAACGGCAACGTTTTCATTTTTTGTGTTTTTTTTCAACATTTTCACGCTCCCCTGAAATTTTGTCACGACTTCCTAAGGGGGCGCGCTCCCCAGGTTTAGAACCCGTAGTGTACAGTATCAAGGAATTTTTTTCGTTGAAATGCTTGTTAAAAGATTTGAAATAACATTATTGGTAGAAAACTGATTTTTATATAAATTATATGAACGTCGGCTGTTTAAAATAAAAACATGATATGACTTATACAACGCGTTATCATTTTTCCCTCGACGATGTTTATTGTATATTTAAAAAATTCCAATCGTGTTGATAAACATTATTTATACGTCTCACAATGGGTACGATCTTATATTTATTAATCAATAAATAATTTATCTGTGTAAAATGTTACAGAGAGATGTACTAAGTCGATTATCTGAATCAATACAATAATAATATACATTAATAGATTAAAATAAGTTCAAATAGTTTTTATTAGTCAATAGTAAATTTTGATAGGGCACAAGTTGCTTGTTTATTTTAATTCCAGTTTATTCCCTAGAAAAATATACCAATAAGCGAGGCTGGGGAATCTTATAATCTTAATATTATACAATATCTATAATGTTTATTATTATCTACCAATAGCATATATAGGACGGTGCCTAGTGAGCTACAGCCACCCCGCCCCCCCTCCGAAATGTTTCAAATAACTTAAAAATTATTTTAAACGTTTGTTATATTTTAATGGCACTCTATACTTATTTAAAAATAATTTTATAAAAAAAAAAAATAGAAAAATTATATATTATTTAATAATATTTAATTTTTAGATTGAGTTTGTTTATTATTATTATCTCCAAGGTACACGGTGTTGTACATTTTTTTCATACCACCTATTTTTATTAGTATTTTATTTAACTATTGAGAATTTTTATTTGTACTTTAGTTATTGTTATTATCAATAAGGTATACTTAAAGAAGATGAACCTTTATTATATTAAATTTTAAGTCAAATAAACATTAAATGTGTTATCCTTTGTTGAACTAAGACATGTTATGGGAAGAACTTATTGTCATCTATTCCCCTCACAAAACTGGGAACAAGTATTTCAAAATTATTAATCCAATTTCCTTTAAAACTATGTGGGGCTATTATGTCAATAAAATAAAACAATTACCAATGACCAGTTTTTGATGGTAGTAAAAATTTTAAATATTCATTAACCGATTTAATCAGGTTAGGTTAAATAAGGTAAATATATTTATTTATGCCACATATTTTGATATCAATTATTCATCATTGATAATGTATTAGAGCGTAAACAGATATCATAAAATTAATTATAATATCTACTATCTAATAAGTTCGACATTCTGACTTCTAATTCCATTTGCTTCTCACAACCCCTTGCAACTCATAGTGGTTGCCCTTAAGTATAAACTGAAAAAATAGTCCAACATTTTTAACGTTTTCAGATACACCTGGCACTTATCAAATCATAGCCAACGTTCCCTCCTTTTATTTTTTTCGTGTTTTTATTCTGTTCAGTATTTTATTTTTAAGAATTTAGAAATGTAGCTTATGATTAATGGAATAACAATATAATGCAATATATTGGGTACAAATTGGTACGAATTATGGTACAATTAATAGCGCAAAAAAAATGTTGAATAGTTCATTAGGTGTGATTTCGGGTGCCAGGGAAACGTTTCCCTGGCACCCGTAGAGAGAAATCGATTTTTCCATGGGAAATTCGTTGGTACAATTAATGACGCAAAAAAATTATAGATTTTTCAACATTCTGGTGTCAGGGAAACGTACCTAATTACAACGACGTTTGGTGGTATATATAAACTTCTAAGAGTAACCGTATTGTTATTGAAAAACTAAACATATTTACATATCAAATAAAATAATAAAAAGACACAATTTTACATAGGCTGCTATTTGAATTAAAACTGTCTCTATTGAGTTTTACACAAAATACAAAGCGATATAAAAATATTATTTTTTACATGATTTAAGATTTTCTGGTAAAGTTGTAAAAATATATTTTTTCTAGTAAAATAAATGAATAATTAAATTTGTTTAATTTAATTTGTTGCAAGATATGACATTGTTTATAAGCATTCTTAATGTAAATAAATTGTAATAAAAACAAATATAGGTAACTAACGTATATAATGTACAAATCAAATCTATAGAATTGAACGCATATTTAAAAATAATGCTAAAATTATTATTGTATCGGAAATGTTTATAAAAAAATATATAAATACTCGTAAATATAATAACATTTAAGTAAAAAAATAAATATAGTGTAATATTATCAATTTTAATTTAATTTTTTTCATACGAAAATTGTTTTCTAAAATTTTAACAT